CCTTTGTTCACTATGTAGCTCCTTATCATTTCTGCAGAAACGTGTGTTTTCACCCTGTAGATATAGAGCCAAACTTTTCGGTCCGCTCCGGCAAATCCATGTTCTAATTCTTCTCCGTTTACTTCCGCAGTTCCTAGTCTTCTATTAGAATTTGGATATTTCACGTACTTTTTTTCCTTGTCGCTATCATTTTTCTTTTCGGTTTTGGTTTTCACAGTTTGAAACGATTTCCGCTATCTGTGATTTTTCTCCTTTATTTCTCAATGGCAGATCTGCCGCCATCTGGCTTCGCGGAAAAGCATTTGGTAGGTACAGATTTCTAGTTTTAGTATCTACTGGTAGTTTCGCCGTTTCACCGTATTTCATAGTTTGGGAATAAGAGCCTTCTTTTTTGTTCAAGTTGTTTGTTGACAGTTTTTGTTGGGGCATTTGCTTTGATATGATTTGTTTTTCTTCCAAATATTTCGTTTTGTCTAGTAACAAGCTATTGTTTCCATCAGGAAACTATTTTTTTCTTGCATTTCATTAAACAGTTGCTTTTGATAGTCATTTTTCGTTATTACCTGTTTTATTTCCATTTTGTGTATGGTATGCTTTGATTTAGTTGTTTTATCACTTTCACAGCATTCGACTTCAGGATCATTAGTGATGTTCAAGTTTGGTAACCTTTTAACACAGGCTTTTATGAAAAACACTTCTACAGTTTTTGCACACATACACTGCAACATCTTTTGAACAACATTTCATTTTTATTTATTCTTTTTCATTCTTTCCGAGGAGTGAATTTACTGATTCGTCGTCACTACACATCGTCGCACGTTATTACCCATAAATCATTATCATTTTGATTTGAATTCTAGTATCTATCAATAAAGTTCGACTGTTCTGCTAAAGTGAAAAATTACTCTACTTTTTCTCTCACATAAAATTACTCTACTGAAGTTTTAGAAAGAGTTATTATTATTATTACATTATTATAACATAATATCATAAATGATGAATTTTCTGCAAAAGTTTATGGGATCATACTACTTTGCCCTGCATATTTGAAAAAAAAAGTATGTGCTGCATAAAGTATATTGACACAGACGTTTAACAAAAGTGAAATGGCTCAAGCTGAAACTGCAATAATTGTAAAATTCGACGGTCAAACTTCCTGTTATGGAAATTTACTGTTTCCATTGTATTGGGGTCCCATGAATTGATGGAAATAATAACAATAGAGAATCCTATGAAAACTAACACGAATACTGATGAACTCAAGAAATGGGAGAAGAAAGATAACAAGGTGATAGTCAATGGATCATTTGTCAATGAAGATCGGTTATTTGATAAGTAGAATTTATAACCTCTGGCGTGAAATTAATCTGTTGAAATTACTTCTTCACAAAAATTCATCTGATGTTGCAATGATTTCAAAAATTATCAGCAGCTCACTATCCAAATTTGTTATGCTAGTAACTGCATGGAAAAGTAAGCAAATGCTTGCAGATTTCTTTGTAAAAGTGCCAGCGACAACTTTAGGATGTCCGAGTGAAGACGAATGTTGGTGGAATTTGGAAAGACAAAGTAATCACAGAGTTCCTATTCATACCCAAGTGAGGTGAAATTTACTATAAATCGAAAATATTAATGATGAAGGTGTCATCATGACTACTGACTATGACAATTATGAATTTTGCAAATAAAATGGTGAACTGTTCTGCAGTGGTTTGAGACGAGGCAACACGTTTAAAATGCTAATGAAAGTTGACGAAATTGAATTGCAAACACTATAACTACGAATAGTCTTAAACTAAGGCATGAACGAATGGAGAATATCAATTCAAAGTATGTCAGATACACATTAAATAGTTGTTGCAGTTCAAAGGGCATGTCTTAAAGATGACTCTGACTTCTGTGAAAGTTACAAGCTGGGATAACAGAACCGAAGAAGTTTCAAAAATTTTTTGATCATCCCAAAGCAAGAAAACCAGAAAAACTTAGTCACAATAATGTTTTTTGTTCCCTTCAACATGGATCATGATTATTTCATTTTCTCCAAGTCTGATGTACTGGCTGAAGAACTATCTGTTTTCTGAAACATAAATCTGAAGCATAGAAGCATAGAAAAATTCTTCAAATTTAAAACACTTGTGAAAAAATAGACTGGAAATGCAATCAATAATTTCAGATTTAATAATGGAACTGAATTTTCCAATAAGAGAATGCAGAACTTTTTCCAAAAAAAAACGCATTTTATGTGAAACCTCGGCACATAACAGAAGATTAGAGCCATGAAAACTATCACTAACAATGCACATTTCATACTGTATTCAAAAAATTTGAGTGTGGAGCTATGGTTAGAAGATGCCAATACTACTATCTACAATGTGACACACTTAAGATGAAGGCACTTCTGATTGTCATTTGTGAAAGCAGATATTTGATTTTTGGTAAAAGCGTAGACCTTTATGGGCCGCACTTTTTGCAATACTTAGCCCGAGTGACAACCTCAAATCCTATTGCGATCCCGCGAAAAGGGAAAATTCTTGATATTTTGCTTCACGTTGGAGAAATAAGATTTTGCAAAAATTCCTTAGAGATCGATTTTGCCCCTACATACCAATTTTCAATTAATGGTTCCGAATATAAGAGAATGCAGAACTTTTTCCAAAAAAAAACGCATTTTATGTGAAACCTCGGCACATAACAGAAGATTAGAGCCATGAAAACTATCACTAACAAAGAGAATACAGAACTTTTTCCAAAAAAAAAAAGCATTTTATGTGAAACCTCGGCACATAACAGAAGATTAGAGCCATGAAAACTATCACTGACAATGCACATTTCATACTGTATTCGAAAGATTTGAGTGTGGAGCTATGGTTAGAAGCTGCCAATACTGCGATCTACAATGTGACACACTTAAGATGAAGACACTTCTGATAGTCATTTTTGAAAGCAGATATTTGATTTCTGGTAAAAGCGTAGACCTTTATGGGCCGCAATTTTTGCAATACTTAGCCCGAGTGACAACCTCAAACCCTATTGCGATCCCGCGAAAAGGGAAAATTCTTGATATTTTGCTTTACGTTGGAGAAATAAGATTTTGCAAAAGTTCCTTAGAGATCGATTTTGCCCCTACATACCAATTTTCAATTAATGGTTCCGAATAAGAAACCATAGAAATGATAAAATAGTAAAAAAAATGAAGTAAATGTATTCATAATGAATATCACGTTTTTTATTCTTATTCCTACATTATAATGAATTTATTATTTTCGTAGCATCTTATTTATAGTGACTAATTGAAAATCGGACTTGAATATGAAATTCGAATTATGAGTTGAAATTCGGTTCGTAGGGTAGATATCGATTTCCAAGCAAATTTTTCAAATAATTCAGTTCGGTATCATGATCGAGAATTTGCCCTTTTCGCAGGAACACAGTAGGCTGGGTTTAAGGCTGTCACTCCGGCTAAGTATTGCGAAAAGTTCGGCCTATGAAGGTCTATGCCTGTACCAAGAATCAAATATCTGCTTTCAAAAATGACTAAAATACAGGGGTGTCTACATCTTAAGTCTGTCACACTGTATATGCTCAATACATCAGTTTGAAATCAAGCAAATCAATCAACACCCTAAAAAACTAATTCGGTAGAAAACCAAATTTGAATCATTTCAGGATATTTGGACCTGTATGTAGATCCAAACATACTGAGAAAGGAATATTATGTACAAAATAGAAGAATTATTTATGTGGGATATAAGAATATAAAAGAATCCACAAATTATCTCTTGCGGAACCCATCAAATAAAAAAAAATTGTGTCAGTGAGTGCCTATGTTCTATATGGGACAGTGAAAAGATTTCGAAATACAGAGTGACTTGGTATGCAGATTGAAAAATAGTTTGTATAGTCTCAGTCTCCACGATGCTGGAACCACGAATTACAAAAATTCCTGGAGAATTTCCAGCTGTAGCAAACGAATGGTGAGCACTGCTTTTTCGTGGGAAGTTTGGGTGCTGGAATTGTATATGAAGCCTTCTTTATCAATGACAGAGTGATTTTACAAAGTATTGGCACATCTAAAACTGATTTCGAAATGAATGTTGGTGAAGCAAAACGTTTTGGCCACGCCAAATTTCAATGCCAAGGGTTTATTGTGGCTCATACCTATTCACACTCGGCCAAATGAACCCAGCTTCTCAACGAAGTCGATTAGTTTGTATGGTGAGTAGTCTTTCAGGTCAGATGGTAAGAGTACGGCTCTGTACGGCTCTGCCGTACTCTAAAGATCCCAGAGGTGCAGGCACAAGGTATTTGCTCTGCTGTTTCATCGTTAATGAGGTAGTCGGATAGTTAAGGTGCAAGATTCCCACTTTGATACCCGCGACAACCTTCCCATATGAGGGTTTTTGCACGTTAGCTACACCAGACGATGCCTTAGATTCAGCCGTGCAGTTGAAAGACTTGATATTTCGAAAAATAATTCGTCTATTGATAATCAAAGTGCTATAAAACTTTGAACAATCGAGAATTTCATGGAAGTATTGAACATGTAGGTGTGAAATATCATTATATTCGTTATGTTGTCGAGAATGGATCACTGGCTGCCAACTACGTGTAGTCTATACTTCAACTCGCCGATATCATGACAAAAACCTTCACCAAAAAATTATTGAATCAACTGATTTTTTGTTTTGATAAAAAAATTGTAGTTGCTATAAATGAAGTTCGATTCGATTGTTCTACTGGTAGTCTCGCATAGCATTAGCCCAAGTTGGATGGCGTCATCCTGAGACAAAAGCAAAACATAAGATTCTTTTGGTACATTCAAAGGCGCGGTGCTCGTAACACTCGAATGTGTTTTTGAGGTCGGTAATAATATAATCCATTATTGCCAGTAATATAGAGAAAAAATGTTTACATAATAGGGTATGAATTAAAATTAAAAATATATAAAAATCAACTGTTGGAAGATTCAATAAACCTAGAATCAATTTGAAACAAATTACCTGCTGCCTTACAAGCTGACTCGGAACCTTCTTCTTTGAAATCTGAAAACTTCATAACTTCAGCCATGATGAAACCCTTCTCAAAATCTGTATGGATGCGTCCTGCTGCTTGAGGTGCCTTTGTGCCTTTCTATAAAATTATTTAATTGATCAATAGATTGAAGACAATAAATTGCAGAAGAAGGTGAACACTTCTTTACCAAACTTGAAAAATTTAAATCTCTTAATCGTTGGCAAATTTATATGAAAGAATATAATTAATTATTTCACCACCCACGTAGGTAGGGTTGCAGTTCACAAGATACACATTATATGGTCTAAGTCTTCATGAAGACTGTTAATTTCAATCAAAACTTGACTATATGACAATACTGAAATTTTAATTTTTCGCCTCTTCTCAGCTTATTACTATATAATGTGGTTGAGCGATTTGCGGCCAATTTTTATCTATGAATTCAAACTGAACCAAAGCGCTGAAAAATATAATTAATTATTTCACCACCCAAGTAGGTGGGGTTGCGGTTCACAAGATACTAGTCATATGGTAAAAGTCTTCATGAAGACTGTTCATTTCAATCAAAACTTGACTATATTACAATACTGAAATTTTAATTTTTCGCCTCTTCTCAGCTTATTGTATGATGTAGTTAAGCGTTGTGGAATTGGCCGCGGTGGTAGTGCGCCCGACTCACGATCGGAAGGCCGTGGGTTCGATTCCCGTCTCGACCAGATATTTTTCTCGAGAGAATTTATCTGGTTGAAACTGGGATGATTCTGCAACCGTCAGGAATCACATGTTGAAAGGTAAGACCTCGTTAGTCCTTAGCACGCACAAGTTTCTCAACTTCTGAAAGTTGTCGTTCGTATGAGGGCGACAGCTGATTAACGGAAAAACAGATTTTAAACAGATTTTTTTTACAGAATTTGCGGCCAATTTTCCTCTACGAATTCAAACTGGACAAAAGCGCTGTCGAAACAGCGCGAAATATCATCCAGGCATTTGGCAATGATAATATCAATGAATGCACTGCTCGACGTTGGTTTGCGAAATTTCGTTCCGGAGATTTTAGCATCGAAGATGAGCCCTGGAGTAGTCGACCTATAGTAATCCAGGACGAGGTTTGAGGACCCTGGTGCAGACTGACCCATCACGCGGTGCGTGGGATGGCAGAACTAAGCGTCAGCTTCCATGCGGTTTTAGTTAAAAAGTTCGAAAATTGGGGGCCCCATATTTTGAACGATCAACAGAAATTGTCGCTTTTCGAAATTTATCCTTCTTTGCTTTTGCGTAACCAACAAGACCCTTTTTTTGATCGGATCGTCACGGTGACGAAAAGTGGCTCCTCTACGACAACAGGAAACGTTCAGAACAGTGGTTGGACATCGATTAGCCACCCAGGTACTTCCCAAAGGTGAAAACCCATAAAAAAGACCATAGTTACTGAATGGTGGTCAGTGGCTGGTGTTATTCATTATAATTTTCTGCAACCGGGCCAAACCATCACAGTGATCTTATCGTGAGAAAACCGACGAAATATACCGAAAATTGCGTCAGCAGCAGCCGGCAAAAGCACGTTTCACAAATCACCGTTCGAAACGAATTGAGCGTCGAAGTTCTACGTCAACCACCATACTCGCCAAAAGATCCCATCAATTGAAGCACTTCGATAACTTTCTCATCAATAAACCTTTTATCACTCAGGACCAGGCAAAAACGGTTTTCGTCAGCTTCATCGAATCCCGAGCACGCAATTTTCATGCTGACGGAATCAATCGATTTGTGTTACGTTGGCAAAAGTACACTGATTCTAATGGCGCTCATTTTGATTGAATTGAATAGGTATTTACTGACATATTACAATTTGAATTAGACTCACGAAAACGGAAAAACTTTTTAAACATTCTAATAAATTTTATGACCTTATCCAAAATTCAGTTGAATAAGCATTTCGGCCATTTGCTCCAATGTCAAAGTGTACACGTTTTAATATTTCACTTTCAGTTCTGCACCATTTAATTTGATTTTTTTCTATATTGTGTACAATTTTTGTTTAAATAAATGTTTAAAATATGTGATTCCGTTAACCAGCTGTCGCACCCCTACAAACGACAACCCTCAGAAGTCGAAACTTGTGCGAGCTGAGGACTAACGAGATCTTACCTTTCAACGTGTGATTCCTGACACGGGTTGGACGATGCAAGTGAAAATTGGTCGTTCAGCCTGCGGCTTGAAACACCGACCAACACGGTGATCGATTGAGTGAGTGAACAAAGCACCCTGTCGAACCGATCTGCTACCGACCGACCTGTGTGTGGCTCTATACTTATTTTCATTTTTTTTTTTTCAAAGCACCCAGTCAAACCGATCGGCTACCAACCGACCTGTGGGTGGCTCTATACTTATTTTAATTTTTTTTTCAGAGTCAACAACTATGGTCTCGGACAATTTATGTCCAAAGAATATCTCATGGAGGTCCAAAATATAAATCCTTATACTTATTTAAATTTTTTTTCAGAGTCAAGAACTATGGTCTCGGAAAATGTATGTCCAAAGAATATCTCATGAAGGTCCAAAATATAAATCCATAAGAAATTGTACATTTTATGAATATATTATTGATGTATATAGCATATCCATTAAAGAATATTCATTTCAAGTCCACCGGGGTACATCTTATGGACATCTATTCCGACCTCTATTGGATATCCATAGATCTTGTCTGGGCGGTAACAATTCCCCGAAGCACCTACAATCATCATGTCGTTTTACAATCCGATTAACCATGTTTCGTAGCAGAATCAATCCACTTTTAACTTTATAAATTCTAACAAGAAATACCTAGTCAAAGGTCAATTCGCACACACCACTTGTGGTGTCAGAACATCACCCCTTTTTTTTATTGTTACCTTTCAATCATGAATAGAATTCTTACAATAGTTCTAACTAGCTCACTACTTAGAAAAATATCAGGCTGAGGTTTCAATTTCTCACATTATTGAATTAACAGATGCTTTAATAATACATAAATTTCCTGATTTCTTCAGCATGGAGCGAGTTTCAACTGCATAATTCCTAAGACATTTTATATGAATTACATGACGTTCCTTCTTCGCCATCTCTCAATATTCAAGGAATTTATATTCAACTCATTGTAAATTCTAGCCGATTCACGTGAAATTATTCCGAAAATTCGAAAGCGTTCATACCGTTTTCCATCATTTACATTTTTCCGGTCGACGGAGAGCATGTATTCTCATGCAAATTTTCCAGAGACAATTTCAGGGCAGGAGCAATTTATTTACTTTCGCATTGGCAGTTTAATGGGCCTTTTATTTCCACTTGTCGCAGTTTGTGAAGAAACATTGGAAATTTTCTAATGAGTATTCTTGTATGACACACTCGATTTGGCATGATGACAGAGTAGTTGCAGTTTTCTCATCAAGATGTGATCTACCTAAGGTAGTTAGTTATTCTTTCTATTTTGTAAGTATAAAAATATTCAGGAAAATAGACTATTCATTCGAAACACGGTAAATCAGTTTACTTCTCATTATTTTTCTGTGCTATATTTTAAAGAAGTAGTAAGATATTCAGTGAAGGAAAATACGAAAATCTGCAAAGATTAATATATACTTTTTTTTTATCAAAATGCTATTCGCTAAAATTGAAATGAAGAAGAATGCAATGAAAGTATCTGAATGAGTATATGAGATCACATGAACATTTTATGTAATTATATAAATAGAAACAGTATTCATCATAACATTACATATACTTTGATTTGTTGAATAAATTGAAATCCATTGAGTATTATTGAATTCACTAAGTATATATTTTTTTTCTTCATAGACATAAAAAATACTTGAATTATCAATTACCTGTATCGTCCAAGCTTTCACTTCATCTGGTCCAGAGGTAAAGAAGTATTCTAACTGCAGAGACTTGTATCCTTGAACTATGATTTTATCAAGAGCGCTGAAAGTAACGATATCATTATTAATTTTTTATAAATATCTTTACACAAATTATTCCCAGTTTTTTTTTCAGTATAATATTATAGACTTTCTCCTAGTCGTAGAGAATTTGCACTAAAAGTTTTTGTTGTGTCGACTGCTTTGTTCTTCCAGAATATAACTTTTTTCGAAGTCTGGAAAATATGAGACCTCTTATAAACATTGATAACAACGTTATTATTGGAGATAATAACAACTTTTCAAAATGAAGGGATAAGAGTTGTGAATAAAAACAAAGTGTTTATAGGAAATGAAACAGTAGTTATTAGTATTTCCACTGTATACCTAAAAAAAATGGTGCTGTTGATATTTGTCACAAATTCGAATATCGGGAATATTCAGGACAAATAACTCCATTGAATTGAATGGTTCATGTTACAGATTACAGATTAAATACCCCCAGATCAAACAATCAGAAATCAAGAAATGGGTAATTTTAATATATTTTGGTAAAAGAACAAGAGATAATTGCCGATTTCTTCAGAAAAAACAATGTGGAAGTAGCATTCAGGCCACATGCCAGGTTATCTGATTTCCTTTTCAATGACAAAGATAAAGTGGACAAGTTGGAGAAATCTGGAGTTTATAAGATTGAGTGTCCGGAGTGTAATAGTGTTTTTGTGGGACAATGTGGCCGAAATTTCCAAAAATGGTGTGCTGAACATGAAAGATCGTTCAGACTAGATAAAAATGATTCGATGTTTTCGAACCGTTCCTTGGCATGCAACCACAAGTTCCCGAATCTAAACGATATGGAAATTTTGCACTAAGCAAGGAAGGGTTGCAAACTCAATTATTTGGAATCTTTGGAAATTCACAAGCATTAACATTGCGGGTGCAACCTGTTTAATGATCAAATCGATTTAGTTTACTCACCGGTTTTCAAATTAGTATGTCCACACTGTCACTCGTAAACAAAATTCAGAACTCAATCAAGCTAGATACCTCTATTATTACCTATAGTGGTGTTATATAAGGGCTAATGTAATCAATCATTGTTAGTTTATTGTATAAGTTTGAAAATGTCCTTATAGGACGAAACTGCATCAATTTATTGGTTCATATTTCATCTTGCGTTGTAAGTTGATGTTTTATTAATAGTTTGATGTTGTTGTTTGTTTGAGTTAGCTTTTCTGTTATGGCATTCACTCACGTAACTTGATCGAGATGTAGGGATCGACAAGTGTCATTTCACAAAACTTCACCGAAAATAATGATTAAGGGTGGCATTTCATTCGTAATTTCACATACAGTAACTCAAGATTCGAGCCAAGCTGCGCCAACAAATGATTGGAAAGTTATGGACAGTTTAGGTAAACTAGTTAAAAAGGGGTTCTATTTTGCGAATATACCAAAAGATATTCAAATATTCTTTACATCTTTGGTTGTCCATCGAAAACTGAAAAATTAATTAACCGAATTTTTTGCTGATGGCTCATTGGTTATTCTAATATACACCAAGTATTCAGGTTTTTCATTCCTCAATTTTCATTTCAAATGGATTGAAATAATATTTTGTTGAAAAGACCGAATCGGGCGAAAGCTTGCGACTTTCACGGGAGGTGTTCAAGTAATAATAATAATAAATGGTCTTTATTTTACGTGGCGGAGTTTAGCAAAGCGCTACTCTTCCACTCAACCACGTTTGAAAAAATTAAGAAACATTACAAAAAATAAATGGCAACTTCAGGACAATAAATAGTATGATTAAATTCAATTGTTTATGTTTGGATCACTGTTGACTGAGCAATTCACTTTTAAGTTTACTTTTGAATAGCGGTAGTGATGAATTTTTCAAAGATTCAGTGAATGAATTATACATTGTTACAGCATGATACGTGAAGGATCGTTCATAGGTAGTGCTGTTATGATTCGGAATGTCTGGGAAGAAGTTTATTTACCAAATAAGTGGGTTGTTGTTTTCATCAGTTTGTGAATGAAACAAGCGAAATGCAATTCTTTTCTGATTCTCTTCAATTAAGTTGATTGATGGAAGGGGTCACATGATCTCTGTAATTCAAGCTGAATATTAGTCTAATGCAGGCGTTCTGTAATTTCTGAATTCTTGCAGAAGTTATGGAATCGATACAAGGGCCATAAACGACATCGCAATAATTAAACTTAGATAGAATCAGTACGTCAGTACGAGAGACCTACTAAGATATTGCCTGTTTGAATACAGATGTTTCAGAGTACCGTACGACCTTTGAATGAGAGTATTGACTTGATGAACAAATCTGAGGTTGTAGTCTATATGAAGCCCTAAACATTTTATTTTGTCAGTCAGAATGTTCATCAATATACAAATCGATATTATCTATGGCCCTTCCACGATCTTTGGCTTTTCCAAAAATTATTAAAGATGATTTACTAGGATAAAGGTTTAGACAGTGCTGCTGCGAAATCTGAACAAGATTTTTTATATCATTACTGGGCGATGTTTCGTGATCAATAAGCTGATTTACTTTAACGGAGTAGTACAAGTTACTGTCGTCTGCATATGTATGAATGTTGAATAACTTAAGGACCTTGGAGAAGTCAGATGTGTAGATAATAAATAGTGGGGCAAGAATTGAACCTTGCGGGGCTATGACATACACTCATATTATCAGACTGACTACCCTTCATCACAACACGTTGCTTTCTATTTTTTGAAAATGAACTGATAAAGTCATATGCCTCCATACTGAAACAAAAAAAAAACAAGTTTAGCACACATCAGATCGTGATTCATGGTGTCGAAAGTCTTGCTGAGATCGAGAGACAAGAAGAGAGTGACCTTTTCATTATCGGTGGCTGAAAAAATATCGTCGGTCATTTTCAACAGAACACTAGATGTACTGTGATTTTTCCGAAATCCAGATTGGTGTTCAGGCAGGATGTTATTATCAGAGACATAAGAGTATATCTGACTATAGGCTGCCTTTTCTACAATTTTTTATATTGCCGGTACTATATTTATGGGCCTCAAATCATTTGGTGTCAAAGGTATAGAAATTGTGTGTGACTTGGCACAGTTGATTTCACCAAGAACGGTAGATATCACAAATACGCGACGGACTGTGACTGCTCATCGTTTTGAGGTTCACCTCAGTGCACCTCCTACTTCAGTGTTTAAAAACTCTTTCATTTGGAATAAGAAATCACATGTTAAAAGGTAAGACTTCGTTAGTCCTCAGCTCGCACAAGTTTCGACTTTTGAGAGTTGTCGTTCGTAAGGGGCGACAGCTCGTTAACGAAAAAACAAATGAATTTAATCGCCAACGATTCAAATCCAACGTTAATCTCTACTTTCACACAGACACCGCTCTTAGAGCGCCTTAAGAATTTTCCTGTAGTGCCTGTGTTTTGTCCTTGAAAAAAAACTTGTCCTCGAAAAAAAAAACTGTTAAAGTGTTCTATATACTTTGCTGCGATGCGCAAAATGAAAACGGTTATGGTACGTTTGCACTTATTACGGGACTGAGTGTCGGACGGCTGAAAAAAGTTGTCACAGGTCAGCTAAAGACCCCAAGGATACATTAGGTATCCCAGGAGTATACCAAATACCGTCTAGTTGTGATTCGTTCTACATCGGAACCACTAAAAGACGCGTTGAATCGCTCTTGACTGAATATAAAAGAAGTAACCACTATAGTCAAACAGATAAATCGGCAGTTGCAGAACGCGCTCTCTCAGAGAGCAGTCATGACATTGTTAACGTTCTTGATAAAACCAGAGGATACTATCCGAGGCTTTTTAGAGAGAAATACATAAACAAAAGAATAATTCAAAGCGCAAGGAAGAAATGTCAAACATCAATAAGACATGGATTCCGGCACTTCATAACACAAAGATTCTCCCAATAATTGAAGGAGGGTTGGACCAGGATAACGAACAGTTGGCCGTCCGACACCCGGTTATAAGAACAGACGCATCGGGACCGTTTTTAGTTTACGCACCAACCGTTGCCGCATCGCCTTCGATAATATTTGCCGCAGTAGCAGACGAAACGTTAGGTATAAAAACCTGCAGACCACGGCAATAAGCCCGGAAACATTCGCCGTGAAAGCCTACATACAACGACTAATGAATAAAACGGAAAACCGACTCTAACTGATTCCAGAGATATACGGGAAAAGTCGAAAATTTTCATTTGCAGAATTTAAAAAAATCTCTTTGAACATTGAAATTGGAAGTTTTCTTGTGCCATATGATTTTTATAAAGGAGTCGTCGGACTTGGGACAGCCTCAACTTTGAAATTTGAAAAATAGACCTGTAGTTTTTGTAACTATTTTGATTGGTAATGTTCATATAATAAGTCAAATCTATGTTTTTTGATATTACCGAGTGAGTTTCGGTGATAATTTGATACTCATCGAATGAATTATTATTTTTTATTACGGTCGTGAATATCACTGGAATTGAATCGATTTTTACTCTATTGTAACACAATTAAAACTCAAAAACTTCACCAAATAGGTAAGTGATATGAGTTGATTTCCAGTGAGGTTTTCTCACATCGTACAATTTACAGAAGTTTCAGAAGACCTTCTTTTCAGCTCTCGCGGTGTTCAATCGCAAGTTCATCACTAATGATAAAATCCGAGTTGTTGAGCTTAATTTTTTGTATGTCAACGGCATCGGCATGAGCTGATATTGATATCAAATTATAAATGAATTCATCTCTCAGAATTCGAAGTTCTTGAAAGAAGCGACATATTCCATCTAGTAGATAGAGTTGTAATTAGTTAACAAATCTTCCTCTCAGACGAAGGTGTTATGCATGCAGTCGAGACGTGTTGAAGTCCGTCAGGCACACTGCTGTTTGAGACGGATCTTTCCTGCACTCATGAGTGGTAATATCTCGAAACATGCCTACTAGATTATTCTCTGTAATGTATCTTGCTTAAATGTCGGACATATATAATTCAATGTCCATCGTGGTATTAGCTGAAGAAGTAGTTGTTTTCCGGTAGGCATTTACCAGAGCCTACTTTGTAGGTACCTTGGGAGATATGAATGTTATGAGATTCCATTTCGAAATATTTATTTTCTTATACGTATGTATCTCTTCCCTACACAGTCTTCAGACTCATTTTGATATTTCTATTAGAGTAATATATATAAGGACAACATTGTGTGTAGGTTTAGTTTAATCTTCCTCTTGAAGATGATCACTTGGTGACTGAAACATGTGTCGAGGTGTTGAAAATAACGGTTCGGTGATCGGATAAAAATCAAGTAACATTCATTACTACACCAAAGGTTCCAAACAGTGCATTGCAAGTAAATAACAATGTTACCAATGGCTAGTACGTAATTCAGATCATCTTACATTAAATAGTGTAGATGTGATTAAATGAAATTTGAATACATATCCAAAATTCATAGTTTCTTTCTCAAACACAAGAAACAGTACCAGCAATTTCTAGAGAATGTGAGTCCAAGAGAAAAATCAGTAGTATGCCCATTAACAAACGAAGTACATTTTCGACATATAAATAAAAATTTTTGTGTCAGCATTCTAAAAATATCTAAATTTATTCAATTTCATAATTTTAACAAAACAAACATTATTTTTTCGCGACATGTATATTAATTGAATTTTATTTTTTAAATGAAAACTGCTGCAAAAACCGTACATCACATGAAGATAATGCCAACAATACAGACAAACTAGATTTACACAGAAAAGAATTGGGATTCTGAAAATTATGTTCACTTTAAGCAATGCATCAACTTTCTTTTTAGGTATAATTACAGCAAATTCCGCAGAGTTGCCACTGGAAGGATTAAAAAATTTATGGACACTATGTTTCACAAAAATATTTAGTCATATCACAGTTCCAAAAAAAATCTGAAAACTATAGAAGACTACTTCAGAAGTTAGGACGTTTACTACAATTTCATTTGCATATGAATATCCATTTTCTCAAATAACCTTAAATATAAACACATTGTTGGGAAACAACCTATATAGGTAGATCATAGAATAGATACCCGAAGGAAATTTCTGCAGTTCAAAATTATTTATTAATAATATGTTTCGATTAGTATAAAAATCGATAAACTCATCACAATTTTCCTTGTAATAATAACACCAAAAGTTAACAATCTGGTCTGCAGAATGGCAACTAACCTATTCATTGACGGATCCAACTTTAATTTCAAAATGTGAATGTTCTCCGCACCCTATATTTACCAAGATTTTAAATCTTTCAAATTTATTAAAAAGACACTAATGACCAAAAATACATTTTAACGACCCTATGTTCATTCTTTATAGCCCAAAGATTACTCCCGCTCTCTGCGTCGCATACTCATCTCTCGTCTGGGCTTGCACAATGGTAAATTCAACTTAATGACAATAATGGCATCGGTGCTTACGTTTTTTTTTAGTGAATGATTCGAGTAGGAGATAGAGAACGCAGACAGACGACTCGATTCCGAAACCTATTATTATCGACGAAAAGATACCGACTGCATGAGCGTGGTCAGAAATCGGAATGAATTTGTCATTCCGTCGGTAATTTTTAAATTGGGGACGGAATCATGTAAGATTCGAGGGCAGTAGGGTGATGAAATTAAGACCAAATTGTTGATAACAGATAAATTACATTCAAAAAATGACATCGATAAATTCCTAATGTGAAAAAATTGAATAGGTACTTAGCTTGAAAGTACCTATAGTATGAAATTGTTTTACTATTTTTTTTTCATTATGTTTGCGTCGCGAATTGTCATTACCAGTCGTTTTCTAAAGCAGAAAAATACGATTTGCTGGTTGAAAACGTTTTTCAAAAGCATTTTTATTTTACAAATTATTCAATTAACAGCTATAGTGAAGCGGTTACATTTTCATTTTACTGTACGCGTAATTTGTTGTGTTACTGAAAATGTTGTGGACAGTGTACCGAGCGGATACTTGTGATTATGTGTAAGATTTCGAGTACATAGTATGCAGAAAAGTCAGACTTTTATTTTTGAATCAGCGAAACTACTTAGTAGGCAAAATTTAACCAGAACTTGAAACAACAAAAAAAAAGGAAAATTCAAAAGAAAACAAGAATAAGTTGAAAGGGTTATATTTTTCGAAGAGATACATTTTTGGGTAAGAAAGGTTTTGACTTTCTACTTCTTCATCTTTATACAAAAAAATGTGTCAATCTTCCAAAGAAAGTTACTTCTTTGCATGATTTACACATCTTAGTTTAGAGTTACCTTTATGAAACTGATTCCTTACTTTCTTTGAAAGATTCCCATTTTTTTGTATAAAGATTGAGAAGCCAAAACAAGAATATTTCGAAGGATGGTTACTTATCCGCGGTTTTTGTAAAACCCTTTATAGTGAAAATCATTCAATAAACTGTATTAATGGGTTTTAATATGGATGTTCAAGTATCGGCCAGTTCTATTCGAAAAAATTCCGGTTTTTTATGTTTGAAAATGAAAATTATTGTAGTTGTATCCCAACACCAAACCGTTAGTTCAACACTGTAGCAGATCTTTTTTATATTACTCTAACCGGAAGTATAACCGGTCTATGTATTCATGTTCATGTATTTACGATTGCCTAGTTCGACTGATGTTCGGTAGCAAACGAAAATTATTTCCTTTACGCTGGTACTGCGCATCTACTGCTCTCATTGATAGAGGGTGCCACGTATTCTACTCTGGTGGAAAAATGTTTTTAGGTTCGAATTGCCAAAACTAGTTGAATGCCAGAACGGAATTATCTGATTCTACGAGTGCTTTTTAGTGCTGATTTCTCATACAGAAACACCTCTGGTTATAAATGTGGTTGGGGTTTTTATATAGCAAAATCTCGAAGATTCTGGCTTGTACCCGTATTTTTTGTAGGTACGTTAACCAAATTATGTAATCTTGTAATTTCCCGAATTTTATCATATGAAATTTTTATTGTGGCAATTGTGTTTTCCATTTGGAAAAATATGTATTTTTTGTAGCTTACGAGGTAAATACTGTTTCCTCTATCAATCTAAAGTTCCGGGATAACTCAGCTGGTTAAATAAACAGACAGTGGCTAAGGAAATCCAAAGACTTTCATTCCAAGAACCCACAAATCCTCGGGAATCGCGCCGACCCTGAGAATATACAACCGATCTTTTACAACACTTCGAGTAAACTGTTTAATCTTCTTCTTGAAGATGATCACTTGGTGGTCGAAACACGTGTCGAGGTGTTAAAATAACGGTTTGGTGTTGTGATAAAACTTCAGTAATATTCATTACCACACTCAAGGTTCCAAACAGTGCATCACAAATGTTTAAACATGGCCAAACACTTCAGAATAATCAAGACGTTCTTGTTTTTGGTCAAGAATAAGCTCGCGCGGCACCCACTTCGAACAGAGCTTTCTTATAGTCAAATGATAAGCAATATAAAGTCACATTCAAACCGAATTTGTGGATTTTTTAAATTTTTTCTGTTGTTACTGCCTCATCTGGACGTTCATTGCGTTTTGCATCATCACTGTCTCCACCATCACGTTTGAAGTCAGAAAACCAACGTTTAATTGTTGTTTTCAATGGAGCGCATCCTTTTATCACTTTTTTGATCCATTGCTTCGCTTGAACGGTATTTTTTCCCATCAAGAAGCAGTTTAAAATTAATACACAAAATTGTTTTTTTATCTATTGTTTTGAAAATAACAAATGTAGTGTCACAGTTACACTACTTTTGTTATTTTCAAGTTATTGAGCTAAGAGTCTTGAAACTGAACGAAAAAATCCGCAAGCTTATTAGGAGTTTCCACAACGAACGGAGATGAGAGAAAGGATGATTAAAGAATAAATATTAGATAAAATTAAAAGTGACAGGATTTAGTTTTGAAACTTTAAAATTTTCGAAATAGTCTACTTACCTAGTTGTATTGTTGTCTTCGAGAATTTTTTTTCTCAATATTGGATCTTCTTCCTCGAGTAACCTTTGTTCGAAAACGCCGGAAAATGGAATGATTTGTGATCCCGGATCATTTTTATCAACCCATTCTTTGATTTTGATCAACCTGTTGACAAAATGAAAATAAGAAACGTATTTCGTGCCGAGCATCAGACAGATGGTGGATGTTATATTCAATAGAAAGTCAATTCAAAAGTATTAATCACTACACGGCTACATAAAAAATAGTCATAAAAGATAACCGCACCCCAGCAGACACGACCTTTTGTGTATCGACAGGTTATCATTACATCTGTCAAGATATTGTACCTAGATATAACAAATAATTGGGGATGTTTCGACAAGGTTTTAATTAGCGTTTTCGATGTAGGTCAGAGGTATAACCAAATTCTTTTGTTGTGGTTCCATCCGAAAATACAACTGTTACGTAAACTAGCTTCTAATCATTCACTGCGGTTTGCCGTTGACAGACCGACAGCGAGATGGACAATAATAAATTAGAAGAGAAATCAACGTCAAATGTACTGAATGAGATTGAAAATGAAACCAAATTATATTTCAATCATGCGCCATTAACTTGATATACATTTCATTTCATCAGATATGGGTTCTTCAGAAATTTTAGAAAGAAAACTACTATGTGGTCCATTAAATTTGCAACGAATGGTATATTTTTTGTTATGTGCACAGTCGAAATTTGAGTACCTCCAAAAGTTAGTGCATGTGCGACCATATCAGATGCATTTAATGGCTTCAAGTCAAACAGCATTCAGGACAGGCCAAAAAATATTGAATTCGTTCAAGAATAAAGTACATCTGTTTCAAAAATACAACAAAATGTTAAGAAATGAAAATAATACTCAAATTTGTAACCTCCTATTGAAATGACAAAATGGTTAAGGTTTTTGCAGCCGATGCTTTCAGTGTCATTATTTTTATTCGGGTATGAAGGTCGTCGCACCGAACTCATAGAGGTGAATTTAAGAATGAATGCTGACTGGTACATACGCAACATCCTTGAAGAGCATGTTTTACCTTACGGCGGATTCATTGGTTACGACAATTTCGTGCTAATGCATGGTAATGCTCGTGCACCTGCTGCAAGAACAGTCACCCAGTATCTTCAAATTGTTGGATTCGAGGCAGTGCAGTGGCCACCAAACAGTACTGACGCAAATCCCATAGAACATATTTGAATCCTCCTAAAAAGACATACGAGTATAAAATCCAGCTCCTAACTCAATTGCAGAATTAATAATTGCTGCACAGGAAGAATGGAATCGAATTCCACACGAAACCATCATAGACCTTTTGCGGAGTATGCCCAGGAGGATGTAGGCTATCGTTAGAGCTAGGGGAAGAAACAATAAGCACTGAACTGTTATTATGTTGCCTCAAAGAACTTTCATTTTTGTCGTCACTGTTGCTTGTACTGATTAAATATTATCAGACAAATAGAAATAAACATAAAGTCAAGGCTTAAAATAAAATATGCAATATTTTTCTCTGCGAGTGTATATATTTCAATAGTATGACTTTTTATAACTCACCTGTTACGAGTTCTTGTTTACTGAAACTTGTGTCATCACACAAATGTTTCATCCAGAATTGAAGTCATCCAGAGTTAAAGGCAGAAGTATATTTGATTTGTGGTTATAACACGAAAAGCTGCAGTGTTTCAACGAACGGCATTCAGAAAAACAAGTTCACTATTCAACGATCAGTAGAATTTCGAAACCGTCCACAAAAACGGAATCATTAACAAAAGAGTTTACCAAAACTGTATGCGAAGAAGATGCCTGTTAGAAATACTTCAAGTAGTTATTGAAAACCCTAGAAGGGACATACACTGGTGTGAAGAACACTTTTGTAAAGTGCGTTCTCAAGAAAAATAAATACTGAGCATACAGGTCGACATTTATTTGTTAATTTCAAGCTAGGGACTAAGTACAATTTGATCTTAGAAAATACTTTTCATAAAACCCCTTTTCATGAAAATTCCATTTAATCTCCTGATGATGCTAACTTGGTTAGAGAAATGCACGTCGAGAGATAGTGGTTTTTAGATTCATTTACGCCAGAAGTTCCAATTATACCTATCTATCTATGCTTTAAGATACGATATTTCTATGTGAGCCTAAGGTGGCATACCGATATATTATGTTCGACGATGAATTCACAACAAACTAACAGTAGAAAATATATTTCATGAAAATATATTTTACATACATTATAATTTCCACTATTCAATCATTTGAAAAGTATTATAAAAAGTGATAGCATCCACAGATTTCTACTCTCAAATAGTAGAAAAGTAGCCCCATAGCCAAAACAGGAAATCTATTTGAAAAACAGTAGATCTGGCAACACTGGCCTACTCTCGTGCGATTTCTCTTCTTCATCTGTAGTAAATTGATGCGCAATATTCCACAGTGTAATTGCATTACGACTTCGTTGTCAAATAATCTAGCGAACCAAAAATCCTCAATTTGTGTAACCCCCAACTTTTTAAATAATTATCAAATGGTTCAATGTAACAGTTGTTCTGCTATTTCGGGCGGACACAAACCCAATAAATCAAAAATCGTGAAAATGGTGAAACCAACATAATTTTGAAACCCTATATATATTAGATAGTGTTTCATCATCATAAAATTCTAGATGGCGTTAAGATGAAAACACGCCTTCTCACAGGTCACTGTAGTCTGAATCATCATAAACAGATACTCGGACTCTCGGAAGACAGTGCACCTGAAGTGCAGAGATAAGAATTTTATCCAGAGAGATATACCAAAGTGTTAGAATAGTGCCGAGTTTAACAAAGCACTAAGACAATTAGTTCTTTTCAGAACTGAGTGTGCGAAAGCACAGATAAGAAAGAATTCGTGTTCTCTTTTAGGAATTCTTTTTAGGTTTTTAGGCCTCCAATATGGAGATGGAAGAAAAACTAGAGTGCCTAGAAAGGGAAAACTTCAGGCTCAGACAGCAAAGGGAAGAGCTGACAAGTATGATTGAACAGCTTAACGAAAGGCTGAATCAGGTAGAGGGAATACTCGCCCAAAGAAAGAGGACGGACACGGGACCGTCAAGAACGCAAAAAGCAAAAGGAGAAGAAAAACCCGAAGAGACCGATACAAGATACGAGAAAGATCAAGAACAAGAGCAACCCAAGGAAAGGGAAATAGACGCCGAAAGTAAAGAGGAAACGCGTCAAACTAAGAGGCCACCCGGCCTGGACGGCGCATCGAACTCAGATTCAGAGGAAGACGGGTTCGTACTCGTTGAAAAGGCGAGACCCAACAAGAAAACCAGAAAGCGACAGGTCCAAGAAAAAGCCGCAAAAATCGCCAAACAAGAGGCAGAAAAACAGGCCACGGAAAACAGGCCACACTTGACGCTGCGTCAAGTGTGGAGAAAACCACGACACCAGAGATTGTAAGAAAACAATGGACACGCCGGCCAAATGCGCGAACTGTATGGAGGCGCATCCGGCAAGCTACAGAGGCTGCAAGATGGTCCCGAGGCAAAGAACTTCAGCTTGGAACAAACCCAGATAGGCGGAAAGACCGACGCCGAAGCCGCAACAACAATCGGCTAAAAAAGACCCAACAAGACAACCACCAACAAACAACGAAAATAACCAGCCGAGCAGCAAAAGATCGCGCAAGCGGTCCAGAAATGGACCTCGACGACTCTGCCAACCGATACACGGCGAGCAAGGAATTGTCTACACTGACCAGGAGAAGGCGGAAGCATTCGCGGACAACTTCGAAAGGCAGTGCAGAGAGAATGATGTCCCGTTCACAGACGAGGTAGACGAAATAGAGAGACAGGTGAAAAGAACGGTACGGAGGCTTAGACAACGGACAAATAACGCGCAACCCCTGGCCCCGACATCGCCTGAGGAAGTGAAGGACATACTGAGGCGTCTTGCCACTCGGAAAGCACCAGGCCCAGACAATATAACAAATCGAGCACTGAAAGTGCTGCCGCGAAAAGGTATAGCAGCCATAACCAACATCATGAATGCTATACTCAGATTGCAACACTTCCCGGTCCCGTTCAAAGAGGCAACGGTAATCCACATACCGAAGCCCAAGAAGAACCACCTGTTTCCAGTGAACCACCGGCCAATTAGCTTACTGCCATCCGTAAGCAAAGTGGCGGAGCGTGTCATCCTGAAGAGACTGGAAGAACAAACCAGAGAGTTAGGGAACCTCCCCGACGAACAATTCGGTTTTAGATCAGAACACTCAACAGAGCTACAAGTCCTGAGGGTAGTGGATACAATACCGAAGCTATCTTCTTAGACGTCTCCAAGGCGTTTGACAGAGTTTGGCATGACGCGCTACTGGCCAAGATGAGCGATTTTGGATACTCAAAACCAATGGTAAGATTGATTCAGTCTTTTCTAGCTGACAGGCGATGCCGCTGCAAAGTATGAGACGAATTATCAACAGTTCGACTACTGGAGGCAGAAGTCCCGCAAGGTGCAGTCCTTTCGCCACACCTCTACTCCGTATATACGGCAGACGTGCCCAAGCCAGAGAACAACTTTAACAAGTTGGCGCTCTACGCGGACGACACGGCCCTGGTGGCGAGATCTAAGAGTCAAGCACACGTTACGAGATACCTTCAACAACAGGTAGACAGATTGGAGGAGTGGGCTAACCTGTGGAAGATCAGTATCAACCCTGACAAGAGTCAGGCGATACTGTTCACTCGCAGGTTCGTACAACCGGAAGGCAACGTCACCTTCAACGGACAAGAGATTCCGTGGACAAACAAAGCGACATATCTGGGGGTCATCCTAGACAAGAAACTAACATTCCAGGCCCACGTACAGCAGAGAATAGGAATGGCCAGACAGGCCAGAAGACGCCTGGCGCCGATCATAGGAAGAAGCAGTAACATGGCATTGAAAGTCAAGTTACTAATGATCAGAACGATTCTAATACCAATAATACTGATCCAATCGTTTATGAATGCGAGCGTAAGGGCCGCTGTAAACGCACCTTATTATATACCCAACAGATTTATATACAGAGACCTAGACCTGGACACGCAATATGTGGACGTGTATAAGAGAGAACATGCAGAAAGCAC